CACAACTACACTGGAGTCATTTGGTGGATACACTATATTTCTTGAGGTTGCACCTATCAAGAGTGACATGAATAGCATACTGCTAATTACTGGTCATTGTTTCTAGCGTGGGCTGCCTTCTATGCCCTGAGTCTTATCTTTCAGAAACTTTTAGGTGCTGTATAAGTCTACAGCCAGCTGGCAAAATTAAATTTTACCTAAAACAAGAGATATTACCAAGTCATTTTAGTTAAGATGGTCCAATAACAAAACAATACTAACCAAAAAGAACGGATAATATACATTGTTAATGAAACATTAACAATAACATTTCATTCTGTTCATAAAAGTTCTCTAAAAAGTTCCAAACTAGATTTATAATAACTAACAAAATGTTGGCAGATATGTCTGCAGGATTTTATGTTTTGCATATTTTCTTGCTCTGCTATTTACTTAATTTTGAGCCTAAGGCTGGGGACATAGTTGAGTGGTAGAGCACTTGCCTAGCATGCATCAGACCTTGAGTTCAATCCTTACTGTACAAAAAAACACAGAAACACACAGATTTGAATTCTAGGCCTTCTTTCTGTTTCTCATATATATTTTTCTATACCTGAGATAGCTTAAGGAAGAAAATTAGTTGAATTTGATATAAGTGCTTCCCTTTTTATACTGCTATCTTTCAAATAGAATTGTTTTCTCCATCCATGCTACAGTTACATTGCAGGCACTTGCTTTAAATTATCCCATTTCGTGGCCTTTGGGAGTGCAGATTCTAATGAAAACCACAGCTATGGAAATGCCAGCTGGTGTTGCCTTCTGGCAAAAGCAACTCTGATAGCTATGTGCTAATTCCTTTGCTCTGTGAAGCACTGAAATGATCAGCATTTGTTGTTTATTTGTTTTACTGGCTTAAATTGTGGCGTGGGTGCGTGTGTGTGTGTGTGTGTGTGTGTGTGTGTGCGCGCGTGCATGCGCGTGTGTGCATGCATGTGCATGTGTGTGTGTGTTCTTCCTATGTTCCCAACCTCTGCTTTACTTGGCCTAGGCACTTTCAACCCTTTCTCTGGTGATCCACTTCCTGCCAACCCCAAAAAGCAGCTCATCCTGAAAGTGATCAGTGGACAGCAACTCCCCAAACCCCCAGACTCTATGTTTGGAGACCGAGGCGAGGTAAGCTATGTATCACTAAGTGGCAAAGTGGTTAAAATTGTGTGATTATGTTACTATATTTACATTTCATCTGAAGCATCTCAGAAGTGGGTGGGGGGGTGGGGGGGTGGGTGTGGGTGTGTGTGTGGTGTTTGTTCATTCATAAAGTGGTACCAACTGCAGCTCATCGAACATAACAGCTGTTTGGGAAATCACACATAACTCCTGCTGGACTGTTGTAGCTCATCATCTATTTTGGAAGCTTGACTATGTGATATTCAACTCACAATTCAAGGCTGACACTGTCAGTGATAAAATTAGAGTGTGAAGAGCCGTTTCGTTATTGACAGAAACAGTGCCTGAGCATGTATTAACCTCCCACCTATGTTCCTCATTTGCAAACCTCATGTCACCCTGTGCTCCTGGGGCTCATACTTGCTCTTGTCACCACCTACTGGGCCTCTGAAGCAGGTTTCATAAATATCTCCCTTGGTGAATACAGTCTTGGTTTTCGAGGGCATTTGCTGTATTAGTTCCATGGAACCTGATGCTGGCCTTCTTGGCCTGCTGTCTGCACACCTGTCAGCTCTTCTTGGACTCCTGTCCTCCCCTTCGGGGTCAGTCCATCACTTCATACCCTTTGCTCTCTCACCTTTCAAACTGTTATTTCTGGACATTGATGGGCACAAGCACACAGCTCTGTAGTTTGGTTTTACCATGAACTCCTCTGGTATCTGCAGGCCTTAGCAGTGTAAACCACTGCGGCTTCATCTTGCCTGCTCTCCCCCGTTGCATCCTCCAAGGTGACTGTTTCCAACCTTCCCTCTACTCTCAGCATCTTCAGCAGACACACAGGAATGTTCCCCTCCTTAAATAATGGATGTTTCAGAAGGGAACATCTCTTCCATCTGCATTGTCACTAGCCTGATCCAAGCCATTGTGGATCTTGTCATCTCTGTTGCAGGAGCCTCCAGTAGATTGGCCACCCTGCTTACCTCTTGTCACCACTCTGCTCTCCCAACAGCAAGAATCATTAAGTGGTGGCATCAGAAAGTTTGTTCTTACTTGTTTTCTTTTTGTGTGTGTGCAGAAATGAAGACCTTGAATTGCTAGAACAGAAATCATACTCTTTACTTGTCTGCAAAATCTAAGATCCTCAGTAGTCCAGTGTTATCATAGAGTTGTACTTAAAGGAAAAACTTCTGTTATAATATCATTAATTAAAATTGAGTAGGCTTTTTTTAAAGTAGTAAATTAAAAAGTATAGCTAGTAATTTTCTTATCTGAATGTTTTCATATCTGTGGTGCTTATTCCCTGAAGCTACTACCCCCTCAAAGTCTGTCCTTACTCCCCACTCTTCAGGTTTCTAAAGTAGTGCTTTTACTGCCTGGTAGACTTTCTTAGCCGACCTCCTTCTGGAGTGTTGGGTTATTTCTTCATTGCTAGTCACTCAGAACTGGCATCATGAAGGAGAATATACAGGTGACCCAAGACCAGGACTTCATGCCAAAGATGAGGAGATGGAGATGAAGGGAATGAGCTGGAACTAGAACATGAGCTGGATGGGGTTTTACACTCCTGTAATCCTAGCACTGTGTGGGGATGAGGCAGGAGGATCACAAGTTCAAGCCTCGGCTGAGCAACTTAATGTCTTAACAAGACCGTGTCACAAAGTTTAAAAAGGGCTGAGTATGTAACACAGCGCAGAGGCTCTATGTTTAATCCCTACCACTGCGAAAAATAAGCAAAGAAAGCCAAACCTAATATTTTTTTCTAAAATGTGCTTTTTAATAATTTTATCTTTTAATACTTTGAAATTTACATGATAATACCCAATGTTGGCTGGGAATACAGCTCAGAAGCACAGCGCTTTTCTGGCAAGAACAAGGTCCTGAGTTTGATTCCTGGTACCGAAAAGAAAAGAAAAACACAATAGCAAACAACGGACCAGCTTTTATGTCATCCAGATCAGGGCAGAGTATCTTCAGCACTCCAGCAGGCTCTGTCTGCTCTCTCAGTGTCTCTTCCCTCACTTGACATACTTCCTGTCACAACAGAGTAATTTTGTCTATTCTCAAAGTTTTTATGAAAACTTACTTGTATAGGAAGAGCCATCACTTGATCAACATTGTTTATGTTAAAGAACTTTGTTCTTTTTTATTCATTTCATTACCCAATGTGACTGCCTGGCTTATGATGGACATTTGGCTTGACTATTATGAATGCACCTTCTCTAAGCATTTGTGCATGGGCAAACTCTTTTGCTACTGGGCATATATCGTGAGAAGAAATTATGGATTAATTCAGTAGAATTTGTGTAGTATTAACAGATATGGTCAGCAAACGTTTGGTAGCTTCCCTTGTACCCCCGTCTCACATACCTGCTGCTGCTACACCTGAGTCTTCTCTCTCAGTAAGCATTTGGTGGAATCACTTGCTGTTAAAAATGTGGACATTTTTGTCAGTATTTTCAAAATAATTACCACCTGTAATGCTATTTCTCATTTGTAATAACGATCTCTTTATTTATATAGATCATTGATCCTTTTGTTGAAGTTGAAATTATTGGCTTGCCAGTGGACTGTTGCAAAGATCAAACTCGTGTGGTAGATGACAATGGTAAGATGGTAATCTGTGTCTACGCTTACTGAGGAATTCTAGAGCTACAATTTGCACTGAAAAAGAAAGTGTGTCTATGTACAAGAGCAATGCATCCCTGAAATCCATAACTGCTACCTGAGTGTGTGTAGAGATCTTATCAATACATACAACTAAGCATCCTGGATAT